CCAACCAACTGTACCACCTGGCCAGGGAGGTACCACACCCATATTGAGAATACTAATAAGTATGAGATCCTGGGGGGTGGAAAGTCAAGGCTGGGCTCTTTGCTGGCTTCCTTCTCACTCCCTCACACTAAGCAATGCAGATGTGCAGTGTAATTGTGGATTAGTATTAAAAGGAGGCAACCTGGGGCCAGATGGCCAGTGGCTGTCTGCCATTTACCAGCTGTGTCCCCTGGGGTAAGTCACGGCATCTGCCTGTGCACTTCAGTTTCTTCATCTTTTCAATGGAGCCAAGAAATTATCTCATAGGACTTTTGAGAAGGGTATAGGAGTTACTGCTGGTAAAACTTAGAATAGTGCCTGGCGTGTAATAGGAGCTCAAAATTAGCTGTTTTCACCATCCTCACCATAAGCATCGCCACCGTATCTCCTGACGCTTATGGCCTCTAATGACTAGTCCTCCACTGATGTGATGAGGCCCGGCTGACCTGGATCATAGACTGCAGCACCAGAGTGCCTCCCAGAATTATGTCAGGAGACTGGGCTTCAGCTTCGTGTCATCTCTTTTCCTTATTACCACCTATTTGGAAAGGAATGCTTCCAAGAATGCTTGCTCTAAGACTACCTGACATGCACAACTCTGAGCTTATAAAACAAATACATTAGATGTTTACTGGTCATATACAAGAAGATGCGAGGCAGAGTGCTCTAAATCAGTGATTCCTACTTAGAGACGCATTCCAGAGTAGCCCGTGGAGCGTTAGAAACACACACATGCCCAAGGATCCCATCAGGGAGATTCTGATTCTGTCGGCATCTTGTTTTCCAAGCAGCCACAGACGGTTCCAATGTGTGCTCTCACCAGGAACTGGTGCTTTTCAATTCTGGGTGCATTGAAAAATGCGAGGCCCAGGCCCCACCCAGATCCATTGAATCTGAACTTAGCTATCGTTTTTTTAAAAGTTCTTTGGGTGCCCAGTCAGCATGGCTCAGTGGTTGAGCACTGACCTATGAACCAGGAGGTCATGGTTCAATTCCCGGTCAGGGCACATGCCTGATTTGTGGGCTCGATTGCCAGTGTGGGGCGTGCAGGGGGCAGCTGATCAATGATTCTCTCTCATTATTGATGTTTCTACCTGGCTCTCCCTCTTCCTTCCTCTCTGAAATCAATAAAGATATATTTTAAATAAATACATACATACATACATACATACAAGTTTATTGGGTGATTCTCACCAGTGGTCAGGGCTTAGAGTCACTGCTTTAAATACTATCTTCTGACAAATGCAAGATGTGGTTTATTTGCATATAATTTTCAGAAACATATCGAAAGGTGGTTCTTGTTTAAAGGTGAAAGAAATGGGAGTTCATGGATAACCCCATATCACAGTAAAAAAAAAAAAAAGTCCACTCTTGACTGGGGTGGAGGGAGGACCGAGTGGTTTACAGACTAATCCCGAGGAAGGCCCAGCAAGGAGGGAGGACAACTTGCTTCTCCCAACTCTCCTCCCCAGTGCTGGCCTCCACACCTGCCTCCAGCCACACAGGTGGCGGGCCTGTGGGAATTACCCTGGGTCTCAACTGTCCTGTAACTGTGGTTAATGTGCAAACTGCTTTATCTGCAGCAGCAGGAAAATAAACTAGGTGCTATGGGGGTGAGGTCTACTCATGCTGAAAAAGGTGTGCGGAGGGTTCATTTTTATTCATTTTCCGCCTTACCTTGTCAAAGCAACTTTGGGCAATGACAGGGCAGTTTTAAATCTGACAGTAAGTCAAGTAACACTGCTTTAGGGATTCTAAGGATTGAAGACCACTCGCATGCTTTCAGACAAAATCAATACTGTGGAGAAATTCTGCTTTGAAGTTTATAAATCTAGATTGAGAGGCATGATAGACATAAACTAATACTTCTTGTACTTAAATTTTAATAGAAGGCATGTAAATGAGCTGCTCAGGTAAATGCTTCTCACTAGTCGTACACAGTGTAACTGGACTCCCCCCTCTGGAAACTTCTCTTTTGAAGAATTAGCCTTTTCTCTCTCTTCTATAATGAATGAGACACTTGGGACTAAATAGGTTAATACACCTCTTTCAGAATTTGTTTTCCCTTTTCTTCCAAGTTTTTTATTTTGAAGGTGTTCATACAAATAAGAAAGTTGAAAAAACAGTATAAGAAATACCAATATACACTCCACCTAGGTTAAAAAATTACATTTTTGCTGCACTTGCTTTTTTTTCTTCTCTCTCTCTCTCTCTCCACACACATACACTTTTTTTTTCTGCTGAACTACTTGAAAATAAATAGCTGACTTAATAATTACTTCATTCCTGAAAACTTCAGCAATGCACACCCCTGCATGGAATAGAGATAGTCCCCTGTAGAGCTGCAATACTGTTATAGCTGCTAAAAAATTAACTATTTCCTAACAGTATAGCCAGTAAATTTTCAAATGCCCCCAACTGTCACTACAATGATTTTATGCCTTCCACACTTTTTTTTCCAAATCTCTGGGGAATTATCATGAAAGTGTGGCCAGGAGTAAGGTTATATGTTCATTAAACATGTTATTTCCACAAGGCGTGCTTGCCAGATCATGGGATTCTCTGTGGTCATTAAAGAAAGCAACTTCCTGCTTCTGCAGTTATCCGCTTCAGACTCCTTTGTAAAGGTTTCAAGATGTCCTAAGCCTTCCATTCCCCTGACTGTTCTACAGGAGTGTCGTGACATCCACAGAAATTGAAACAGCAACAAAATGAGCAAAAGGACATCAGTTTTGTCTCAAAACTTCTCTTTACCCTTTATTTTTCACAAATCCTTCATTCTGAGAAAATGCTGCCCTTTCATTCCACTTGAGTAAGTTGGTCTAGGTAAAAGCTAATAGGGAATGGTGTGAGGACCCTCAGAAGTCGGTCTGTAACCTTGCAACACTGCAAATATTTATAGTATTTTGCTTTACGGTTGCTGTGCTGAACATGGGAGGTAATGTAACTATGGTGGTAATAGTGGTGGAGGTGAGGGTGGTGGTGGTGGAAGTGATGGTGGCAGTGATGGATGGTGGTGGTAGTGGCAATATGGTGAGGTCATGGTGATCGTGATCCCAATTTCAGGTCCTTGCCACAAAGCCAATACACATTCAGAAATATAAACCATAATTAGCTTAATCATGGATTTTGCTATTCCAGTATAGAACTAGACACGTTTGACACAAGAGAAAAATGTCACTGATACACAACGAATACATTTTCACCTGCAATTTTATAAGCTTTGTGTGGTTTCTTTAGGATATGGAGAATAACAGGCATTTTTACACTGGTAATTATTATCAATGTACCCATGAACATCTCATTTCAATTGGGAACATCAAGAGATCAGGATGATCTGACTAGAATAATGACCACAGCCAACCAAGCAAAGAGATCCTCAGAATTTCTCAACCAACAACAGGACAACACCTTACACCCAAGACCTTAGCTTCATTAGTTGAGACAAGTGATTTTTTAGTGTTAACACCCACGTAAACCATGACAAACTGTGGTACCTGTAATCATTCCACAAAGGGTGTTTTGCCTAAACAAAACTGAATAGCCACTGTATTCACCTTGTAAGGCCTGGAAGCTAAGAATGTTCTAGAGAGTGTAGAATAATAAAATGTTTATTGTAAATCCTTGTGAAGCACAATGTACATCTGTGTGTCTGGAAATCAGCATCTCCAGACAAGTGGGAGTCCTGAAGTTCTGACTCTCTGCTTATCATCTAATTCATCTGCTCAAATTCACCTTCATTGTGCAGTGAGTAAGTCCAGCATCATTTCACCAATCATCTACATTGTTCAGTATTATAAGACACCTTCAAAATTAACTTTATGTTTCAAACAGTTTCATCCATCATCAACTCAGGAATGCAAATTTACAATTAGGTATTGTGTGTTTCTAGAATAATGAACCATCCTGAGCCCATATGCAGCAGAACTACATTGCTGGGACTTCTTGTATTAAACCAATTATCTATTCAACCACAATTATTGAAACATCCAAACACCAAGTGAACCTAGCAAAGATTCTGGTAGAAAGCAAAATACTATCACATCTTGAGAAGGCCCATTACACACCTTTGAAACTAAGGAATCAGAAACATGAACCAATCTAATCTTTACTTGCTAAGAACAACTGTAGCGAATTCCAACATGATACAAATTTTGTTTAGGAAGCCCTGGCCAGCATTGCTCAGTGATTAGAGCATTGGCCAATGTGCCCGAGAGTCTCTGGTTGGATTTCCGGTCAAGGGCACATATCTGGTTGCAGGTTTGATCCCCAGCCCTGGTCAAGGTGCTTGGGGGAGGTAACCAATCAATGTGTCTCTCTCACATCGATATTTCTCTCTCTTTCTCTCCCTTTCTCCCCCCTTCAACTCTAAAAAAAAAAAATCAATGGAAAAAATCTCAGGTGAGTATTAACAAAAAGTTTGTTTAGGAAAATCAAACATTCATGTGGATAATGTACATAACTTTAGCTACAATTATTATTATGAACTCTTTTTAAAAATTAAACTAGATTAGACCTAGAAATGAGAAAAGAAATCCATGCCTTGCCTAGGACTTTATGAGTTTTGCTCTGTGAGATTTTTAGGGACTCACTGAGGAAGAGAGGGTTATTTCCATTTATGGCACAATTGATTTTTTAAAAATATATTTTTATTGATTTCAAAGAGGGAGGAAGAGGGAGAGAGAGAGAAATATCAATGATGAGAGAGAGAATCATTGATCAGCTGACTCCTGCACACCCCACGCTGGGGATTGAGCCTGCAACCCAGATCGACGCTCAACCACAGAGCAACACCAGCCAGGCTGATAATTTTTTTTCTTTAAGTGGCAACACAGAGATTTACAAAAGCAAAATCAAACATACAGAAATATAGTTCTTGTCGTGGGACAAAGAGTTTGATTCAAACATACAAATGGAAGTTTAACAAATCAAAGAGTATTTTTTTAAAAAAGAATGCCTACCTGCTCTTTGGATGGCACCAGGAGTTCTTCGATCATCATGCTGTCCCGGGCATAGGAGCTTCTGTTCAAGGTGTAAGACCTATCCGAACTGAAGGAGCGGAGGCTGTTGTATTTACAGTTAACCATTCAAGAGTGGTAGATGATGATGAGATGAATAAAAAAAAAATTAATGCATGCAACTTTAAAAACAGGCAAGATGGCTAAAAATATCAACCAAAGTTGTTCTTGAAAACACATGGTCAAAAATAAAATCCCTTATATTTGAGGAAATCTCTTAAGCTTGGACAATCTTATGATCAGGTTTTGTTTAAAATTTGGCCAACTGGTGTTAAATCTGTGAGAAGATGAAATGCATGAAAACTTTGGATGTTGCACTGTGACAATCAAACCAACATGACAATTGAGAAGAACCAGATCATTCCAAATAATTTAATAACCTGAGAGATTTTTCTATGCTAAGACCTTATGTTAGTCTCCTCTCTTTCTGGTCCAAATCTGTTTAGCTTGCATTATTCAATGAAATTGTGCCTGCTGTAAATAGTTCTGTTTATGTGTCTTGGGAGCTAGATATAGGGTTAAATTATCGAAAGGTTTATGGTTGCTACTCAGGGAAAGCATCAAGAAGGAAGTAAGCAGTATTATGAATCCCTCTTACATGATTTTCTGGCCTTGAAATTTCAATTCCAGGTGAGCTCACTTTTTTATTTCCTTTTCTTACTTGCTCCTTCTACCTTCTCCTTTCCATCCGCTTTCAAATCCTCTACAGAGCCCCTGAACTTCCCAGAGTGCAAGCTTTCTTATGTCCTCAAATGCCACTCTCCACATTGACCTCTAAACTAAAAACTGACAAGGGGTTCGGGAATGGGCGAAACGGTTGAAGGTGGTCAGAAGGTACAACATTCCAGTTATAAAATAAATAAGTCCTGGGGGTGTCATGTGCACCATGGCGATTATAGTTAATAATGCTGTATTATATATTTGAAAGTCGCCAAGAGAGCAGATCTTAAAAGTTCTCATCACAAAAAAGAAAAATTGTAACTATGTGTGGTGACGGATGTTAACTAGAATTATCGTGATAATCATTTTTTTAAGATATATATTTCTTTATTGATTTCAGAGAGGAAGGGAGAAGGAGAGAGAGATAGAAACATCAATGACAAGAGGGAATCATTGATCAGCTGCCTCCTGCACACCCCCCACTGGGGGTCAAGCCCGCAACCCAGGCATGTGCCCTTAACCGGAATCGAACCTGGGACCCTTCAGTCCGCAGGCTGACGCTTTATCCACTGAGCCAAGCCGGCTAGGGCTGTGATAATCATTTTGCAATATATACACATATTGAATCATTATACTGTACATCTGAAGCTAATATAATGTTATTTGTCAATTATATCTCAATCTTTAAAAAAGCAATAGAGAAGGGACCCTGGTAACCCTGCACGTATCCACATAGGACGGGCAGGTGGTCTGAGCCTTGGCAGGACACCTTTGATGCTACAGGAACACAGAGGATGGAGGTGGGGAGCTGCGTCAGGCATCTCCCACAGGCCTCCCTCTCACCTGCCACGGTGGGCCGTGACCAGGCAGCTCTTCATTGGCTCCTGAGGCTTCCTGCCCATCCTCCTTGGAAGAGAGTGGCAGAACACGAAGCCATTTAGCTGCGGTCTAGGACTGGCTCCTCAGCTAGTGTGGCAGACAAGGACCATGGCCGTGGGCACCTGTCGCTGCCTATGTAACTAATAAACGGTCTGAATGTAAATGTGGCTGCTTGAATCTTTACCAGTAGATTCAGTCAGACTCTGGCCTTGGCCTTATGTGTACTAGGCAGGGAAAAGAGCAAAGGAGAGGTGAATAAGGAATGACTCCTTGCTTTGCACAAAACGACTTCTTTCCCCCTCTGCATTTACTATACTTAAGATTACCTCAAAGTGAGTATTTTTAGATCAATACACAGAGGCCCCTGAATTATTGGAAGTGTCTACAGAAATGAGGAGGTACATTCTTCTAGGATCAGAGCCTTCGCTTTCACCAGAATCTTAGAGGGATCTAGAACTCCAGAATGACTATTACTGTACAGTCATTACTTAGTGTATTCAGCAAATTTTGCTAAGTGGCTATTATGAGCTAGCCAAAATATTAATAACAGGATATAGAAGGAGAAAAAAAGTAAGCATTATCCCTGCACAGAGGAGCTTACCTAGTAAACCATGTGACCTCGAACACTTGGGCCTTCTGTACCCCCATAATTCATAACTCTTTCTCCCACCCTCCATTTCTGTTGCAAACATTTCCTTCTGTGATTCCTGTTTTTAGTGCCCTTCCATTCTCTCAAGTACATTATATAAACTTCCTAAAAGCAGGAACTCTCTTTCTACTCTCTAACTCAACTGTCCAACAGAACTTCTCCCGATGAAGGGTGTGTTCTCAACCCGCACTGTCCAATACAGTGTCCACGGGCCACGCGCGGCCGCCGAGCACCTGGAGTGTGGCTGGTGACTGAAGAACTGCATTTTAGGTCTCATTTCATTTTAACTAGTTGTCATCTAAAGAGCCGCGCCACTAGGGGCTACACTATCAGTGCAACTTCTAAGTACTCACAGCAAGGCTCTATTTTGCCGCAGGGATGTGATTTGAGAAACTTGCTTGCCCCCTCAGACACTCATTTCTTTCTTTCTTTCTTTTTTTTTTTTTTTTCAGACACTCATTTCTTTAAGTTATGGTCCCTCCGGTGTAAGTTAATATTGGTGATTCCTGAGAACAGTTTTACTGTAGATGTGGACAAAGACTTAACATTTTAAAGAAATAATTACATATTTAATTTCAGCTTTTAATTACATCTAAGATGGGTTGATACATTTTAAGCATCCTCTTTTAACTTATGTAGGCATGCCAACTACAGGACAGAGCCCCGAACTGGGAGCTATCAACAGAAAGGCCTAATGATGTCTCGTTTTATTGTCTAAAGTTCTTACTCTGAACTGTTCCAGACCAACTTACATTAGGCAGATGGAGCCAATTAAATCCATCAAGCTTCACTGGGAATCCTTAATACATCGAAATAATTTCAGCTACTAAAATTAGACATTATTTGCATGGGGATCTGGAAAGCATTAAATTGTTTTTTAACTAAGGTCAACTATATTATTTGTAGCCATCAGTATACCCTATGTGTTAAATACAGGAAGTGTTAGGAAACCACATGCCTGAGGATTCTTAAAATTATGCCAATGTGCTTAGCACAATTCAAATAAAATGCAACCAGCAGACAAACAGCTCTTCAAGATGGTTTCTTTAAGTCCAGGGAAATTTCTCCAGTTACTTCATGCACTATACAAACCTTGTTAAGCGAAAGAAATTCCTTAAATATTCAATGTTGCATGAGTAACATTTCTTATCATACATTTAGCTATTTGCTCATTTCCTCAGAATCACAAAACTGGTTTGCTAAAGCTGAGCAGAACAGAAAAGCGCATGGCAGAACAACACAGCACAGCACAGCACGGCACAATGCTGAGGAAAACAAAAATGAGAAAATGAGCCAGGGAAGGCCAGGGGACACTGGAAAGTGCCATTTCTTACCTGATCTTGGGACTATTTTAAAGTATTTTTACAAAAACACAGGAGAAGAAGGAAGCAAAAAAAAAAATCAGACAGGGAAAAAAAGAAAAAAATGTTATGGTTGAATGAGGTACACATTTAATGTATTTCTTTTTAAATGTTACACTCAGAATATTATACTTGGCAATACTCTAAGAATACCTTAAAACATATTGGCTTTATGATTTATTTTTATATTTGCCTCTGAGCATAACATGAGTTGCCAATGTAAAAAAATGAGTTACATATAACAGCAACAAATAATAATAATGGTACAATAAAAACCAGAAGTGTGGAAGCCTCACAACTTGGGGAAAAAAATTATGAGACAATATTCTGGTTTCATCACTGATTGGATGTCAGCTGCTACAATTTTCTATATGCAAATGAGTGATTAATAAAATGTTACCTTTAATATACTATCTCAGGAAGAGAATCAGCGGGTTGTTGGATTACAAAGCCTATTAAATCTCTAAATAGAATTTTCCCTTGAGATCCTTTAAGATGCTACACATTTTAGTTATAATTTGTTATTATCTGTGGTTACATGAAATATTAAAGGTTATTTCCCCTTCTTGTTAATGACAGCTGCTACAAGAAGACTTTAAGACCTTTAGATATAGATCTATAGATATATATTTTTCTAAGGCAAAATTACATGAGATTCCAAATTCTGTTAAAAAACAAAACGATTAACTCGAAAAAACATCAATTCAGTATCTAAACTGGCCACATCCAGGACACTGAGAATTAACTCTTAGGTTTACTTAGTGGGAAGTGCCATTTACTATTAGACAATGAAACTTTTTACAACAGATACTTAAACTATAGGAAAATGTCCCCAGGGCTCTGGCTCAGATGGTTTAATTATTAGCTTTCACATAACTTGACTGTCAGCAAACAAGCTGTTAATCCAACCACGGAAAAGAAGTCCCCAAATTCTGGACAAGGTCCTATTTCTTTCAACCATTGTCAGATAAGTTTGAGCCAAGGTTTTCCACATACCAAAGTTTTACGCTTTGGTTGTAAGGACTGAAGTTGCCACTATTCCTGGCTTGCTAAGTCACTGTTTCACTCCTGACATGTCCCTTGTAAACAAACTAATGGGAAAGCTTTAGAAGAGATACTCCAAACACTTGGTAGGCAAGTCTAATAAATAATTTTATATATATATATATATATATTCTCAAACATGAATTTTTCTTTCAATAATAAATAGAGAATAGTGAACAACCAACACAAACATGTCTTACTTATTGGAAAATAAGATTTTTCTTTCAATTAGAATAAAATTTAATTTTGAAACATATAACCCAGATGGTTCTCCCAGTTTTGTCTGTGAGCCCTTTTGCTAGTATGCTTGAAGCATGACTGCAAGGTGGGGGGAGAAAAAGAACAATTAACACGTTCAATCACAGACAATTAAGGACTGAAAACCATGAAAGGAAATAGCGGGGCACATACAATGGAGTAGCGAACATTTCACCAAATTCACATCCTCATCCAAAGAGCATACTTGGAGATAATGGTGAAAATGGAAAATGATTTTGGTTTATGACAAATCATGGCTGTTTCAAATTACCTCTGAAAAACAACAACAGCAACAACAAAATACCTGGCAGAACGGGCCCCAAGACTAAAGCCCATGTAGCCCTCGGCAGGCAGAGAATCATCGCCCAGCTCCTTGAGGTCCTGTGGCCCCAGGTACTTGTCAGTGTCCCCCGTCAGCGCATCTTCGCCTGCGGATGGACAAAGCAAGCCACAATCAGAAGCTTCCCTTTGAAAACGTGCCTGTTGTGGAGAAACCTGTTCCTTTGGTCATCAGCAAGGCACCCATTCTCTCTGTCCTCTTCTCCTGTCCCATGGGTAGTATTTGTAGCTGCCGTTTAGCAGGAAAAAGTATGGGCAGAGGTTAGTTCATAATTTCAAGAGTGGATTTAAGGAGCAGAAAAAGCACCTGGTGTTAAGCACCCCTTTTTAAAAAATCTCTCCCCCCGTTACGCCTAAGTAGAAAGAAGGATTTTTTTTAATGTCAATTAGTTTTCCTGTGATGAGGGCAGCTTGTTTGAATGGACGTTGTTGCAAAATAAAAACCACCTCTTCCTTACTGCTCTGGAAATTATACATGGGAAGGGAGTTTTGTTAAATAGTCTTCGCACACCCAGGATTTCGGTTTGGGGCTTATGCAAAAAACCAGCAAGTTACTTAATCTGAAGGATAACTGCTCCATTGGGGAACTTTGAATCCCACCGATTTGCAACTGTTTCTAAACGGATCAAATGAACAACCCGGCCCAGCGGCCCCCAGGCCTGAACCCTACTTGGAAAGTAGAGATCCAATGGGAGTTCCAGCGGTTTGGAAAGGGACGACAGAAACTGTTCTTTAGTCATCAATACAAAGAGTTAATCGCATAAAATACTTGGCCCAGCTACATATGCAGAACATGACCTCACGCGGAAAAACCACATTCCAAGAGTGACAGGGCAGGTTTTCCAGAGGCTTTTGCCCCCTGGGACGTTTCCCATCCTCGCAAAATGTAGCACAGGCCGTGGCAGAGTTCCTTCCGCAAACAGGCAAACTCTGTCTCCTTTTTACGACTCTCATTTTCTTTCTGGACACAAACTTGGCTGGCCCCGTGAGATTTCAAAAGCGTGTGTTATGTTTTCTCAAAGGTAAAGTGATTCATCCGCTCCAGCGATATTTTCCAATTCCTTTCTCAGTACCATTTATACTTTCCATTCATTTAAACTCAGGAAACCACAAGAGCTCATCTTTTTAAACTACCAATCAAGTCTAAAAATACACTGTCGACTACTGTGTTTGTTTTTTTTTTTCTTTCCCCAAATGTAAAAACTAAACAGATCAACTTTCTTCTGCGACCCAGGACCAAGAGATTATTTTAAGTAACTATTTACAGCTGGGCTAATTTTCACAATCACCACAAATGAGACAAAAAAACAGTGCACGCCAAGTACAACTTAAAGATCTTACTCTGTCGCCAAGCCATGTTCACCAGGATGGGGCGGATCAGATGTTTCCTGAGGTTTCCAGGAATTCCTTAACCAGTGATTTAGAATCTACCTCCAAATCAGCCCAAACAAACCAGTCCCTGGGGTGTAGCCACCGTCTTCACCACCGCCGCTGAGTTCCTCTCAGCATCTCCGTCTCCTCGTAGGCAATGGAGGAATTACACATCTTCTCCTACTCATCAGAGCTCAAAGGTTTTCAATATTTCAGACAAAAAAAAAAAAGAAGAACAAAACCTGGCTACTCTTAATTGAGATTAAGATCCTTTTGATTACTCCGCAGACATCCTTTTAAAGCGCCTTCTGATTGGATTAAAAACTCCTCTGGCAAGCCTCTAGCAGGACCGAATGGTGACATAAATGCAAGCCCTGAGTTATTTGTATGTAAATATGAGGGCAGCTCCAGTGTAGACTTTCGGTAATTTGATACCAGTGCTCCGTGCCTAACCGGGTAACCGAGACAGCCTTAAACGGAGGGAGAGCCAGGAGCGAGGTGCTGCATTTAATTAGGAGGTGACTCTTCTCCCACGTGGATGAGGAGCCGGCCAACCCAGGTAGAGGAAAAACAGAAGAAAACAAAGAAGCGGCCCAGCGGGGAGTGGCGGGGAGCTCCCGGCAAACTTTCAACTTTGTTCTCAGCCGGGACACCGGGAGCCTCGGTTATTTATGGTCCCTGTCAGGTGGAAGGAGGGGGAAAAAAGAGAGCGAGAGGGAGGGCCTGCCCTTGAGAAGAGGTTGTGAAACTGTGGGGCCGAAGGAAGCAGCAGTGATTCCCAGAGCTCTCCAAGAAGCTCTTGAGAACGCACTCCTCACCCATCACCGCTGCTTTTCAGCAGGAGTTGGAGGAAGAGGAGTGAGACCAGCTAAGCGAGTGGATGTTCTGCTGTATGTGGGGCACAGGTTCTTTCAACTCTTTAACACACTCAAAGGGACTCACTGGCTCTCCCTCTTGGGCGGTCCCTGGAGAGAGAGGGGCAGGGGGCGCAGTGGGCTGGAGAGGCCAGTGGGGCGGCGTTCCCTCTCTTGGGGACTCCTGCCCCTTCCCAGCTGCCCCACCCTGTTTGTGTTGGCACCAAGGGGCACTCTGCACCCTCCACCTGGGCACACGCAGAGGCGACTTCTTTCCTCTTTTTCAGCACAACGGGAGACAGGCTGGAAAGGAAGTAGAGGGTTTGAAACGGTCTCGCTGAAGTCAGTGGTCTGCAGCCCTGTCTCATGACAGTGCCTCTACCTCTTGGATTGTTACCTAAACATACTGACATTTGAAGCTGTAGAACCGACGAAGTGGGAAACGGATTTGGTTTTCCTGGGTAAACGCGTAAGTAACTGCATCAATAAATGACTCATGGAATATGAAGATGATAGGACTCCGACACCCGGTGTTTCCATTGGGCCAGCGCGGCTGTAACCAACATTGTAAATATGCAGAAACGCAAGGGAAGCCCTTTATAATGCCTGGCGCATATGGAAACATATTCCCAAGCGCAATCCTGGGGAATGTCATGGTTAAAATGGAGAAAATGTCCAAAACGGACGGCATTGAAAACAGGGTCCTTCCTGCGGACCTGTTGGCCAGCCTCTCTGGCCACTCCTCCACACACACCCAGCCTGCCCTCTGTTAGGCAGAACGATTGCAGCCCAAGGAATTCCTGAAAGTCTTTTAGACTTTGAACCACTGCACAGGGTGCATTCTCCTGATGGAACCTTTACCCTCTTCTGCATCTGAGTAATTTCTCCAGTGTTTGACTCTTTCTAGAACTCCTCCCACCCTCACTCATCATCGTAAGTGAGATGGCCCTCTCCGGTGGGCTTCCCTTATCAGAGTGTGTTGCCAGGAGAAACATCTGCTTCCTGTCTCCCACTGGATGGTGAGATCCCCCAGATTAGGAACCAATTTTTTCCTGGGCCTGGCATATTGTAAATGCCCCATAAATATTTGAATTCATGATTACTTTTATTAATGAGGTTGGTGGTTGTGTTTTCTTTCCCATCTACATGCTACAGTCACTTAGCACTTTTTTTTTGCATGTTAAGCTTGATAACTGGTTGGTATACAGTAAAATGTCAATAAAATTAAGTTTTCATTCCTCTTTACCCATCCTTCTTAGACTTCAGAATTGGTCACTGTAAAACCAAAAAGAAGCCTGGGGTTGGAGTAGGCGTGGGAGCTGTCAATACATGTGGTCAAAGATGAATTAAAATAGCATTATGACATTAAAAATTATGCACCTACCACTTTAGAAAAGTGAAGCCCTGGCCGGTTTGGCTCAGTGGATAGAGCATCAGCCTGCGGACCGAGGGGTCCCGGGTTCCATACCGGTCAAGGACACATGACCAGGTTGTGGGCTCGATCCCCAGTAGGGGACATGCAGGAGGCAGCCAATCAATGACTCTCTCTCATCATTGATGTTTCTATCTCTCTCTCCCTCTCTGTTCCTCTCTAAAATCAATAAATATACATATGGTGTGTGTGTGTGTGTGTGTGTGTGTGTGTATATATATATATATATATATAAAGTGAAAACATTTTTACAAGTTAGGGAATTCAGAAATAAAGGCATTGGTATTATGTTAATGCAGTTTGGCATGGTAGGTGCTCTGGATTAAAATCCAAGTTCCACGGCTACTGATTAGATGACCTTTGAAACACTCTTCTCTGAGTCAGTTTCAACCTCTACAAAACTGGGATAGTAACTCTGCCTCTATCCCAATAACCTTTTGGGAGGATTAAATAGAGTAATGCGCAAAGTAAGGGTTTAATGAGCACTAATTGTCACTAATATTCTGTGACTCAGTTTTCTCTAGTGCCCAAGCATCTGAACTCATATAGTTAGTATTTAAATTGCTACTATATATACTGGTAAGGGCAAAAATCCAACCATAGCAGGAATTTGTCCTTGCTCTTTACTGGCTAACACAGGGCCTGGCTCATTATAGATAGTCAACAAATATTTCTTGATTGAATGAAAGAAAGAACAATAAAACTAACTTATTTTCCTTTCAATAAACACAATATTCTATAGTTATTATGACATACTACTACTTGGCACAACACACTACTGTACCAAGTTTAGAAAGGAATGAGATAAATTGTGTTGAGTGATTTATAAACTGCCTCTAAACCCTCCTATAATCCAAAAAATGTTTTATTAGTGGCAGCTTCTGACCAATACTTCTTATACAAAGGTAATTCTATTAATGGACATCACTCACACAACATCAGATATATTTAGTTAAAATATATACAGGGGTGGTCAAAAGTAGTTTATAGTTATAATACAATAATTCATAACACAAGAATAAACTATTTTGTGTACTCACAACTGTAAACCTACTTTTACCCACTGCTGTATATTACCAAGAAACACAAGTTTTCACTTACTAAGAAGTACTTGAGTGGGTTTATGTTTCCTACAAGTGTTTGGTACACTGGCTTGACTTCTGAACAATAGAATGCAGGGGAAATGATTATGCATCACTTCTGAGTCTGAGTTAAAAGAAACCTTATAGTTTCTGCCTCAATCTACTGGAACACTTGTTTGGGGAAAGCCAATGGAATTGTAAGGCATTTGACTACCTTGAGACCATCATGCTTGTGAAGAAGCTCAAAGTAGCTGTAAAGAGGTGGCTCAGAAAGACAGAGATGCCCAGGCAATCCCCAGCCATTCCAGCCATCTGAGGTAACAGACCTTTGAATAAAGACACCCTATTGAACATCCTGCCATGTTATTCCTGCCTCGGCTGCTATCTGACTGTAATGTCATGAAAGATCTCCAGAACCCAGCTGAGCCCAGTCAACTCACACAACCGCAGGAGATAATAATAATAAATTATGCAGCTGAGTTTAGAGATGGCTTGTTACATTGTAATAATTAGTGGAAACAGAGCACAATGAGAAATGAGAAGGTCCAAAGGTAAGCCGAAGAGGTCACACGCTGGTTGCCTAATGCATCCCTAGTGGGTTAGAGTTAGCTCTGTAGTGCATTATATGATTAGGGTTGACAAGTCCAGGGGAAGTACACTGGTAAATGCCACTACAGGCCTCATTTTTTTTTAGTATTGATTTTATGCCTTTCAACATTAGAAGCACTGGTGTTCTTTTTGTTAATCCATTTCTGACAATATAACACCAGAGGCTGGAAAATGTTAAAAGAACACAAAACACCTCAAGTCTACTTTGATCTCACCATTAACCAAATAACGAAAGCTGTTCAGAGGCACTTCAATGCCCCAGCTATCTCCTCTTCCTCTTCCTCCTCTATCATGACCAGGCTAAGAGAAGAGATTCCTGTACCACAATCAGACTTTCAAAGCTTCATACACTTTGTCTACCAGGAAAGAATACAAAATAAAATAAAGGACAGAGGAGAGAAAGAAAGATAATACATACATGAAAGGATTATCAGGACTGTGGTCGAATAGGTGTGCCCTCATTCCTTTTTAGATTTCATGTCAATGGTCCAGTGTCAGTACAAGGTAGAATACATATACCTAAGCCAAGTTCCTTGCACTCTTACGTTATGCCCACTAACGTTCCTTTTTGGGCTGAACAGAGGAAACGGTTCTTGGCCCAATATTTAGAAGTGTTTTCATGTCCCAGGAGTTCTTTTTTCTCCTATTTATTTATTTATTTATTTTTGCATGTGATTTTCTTCTACTCTTTCCCCCCTTAAGCCCATAACCAAGAAATACTTGTTACTTTTCCAGGAGTTGAAAATTGCTTTCCCATCTAGATAGGACTAGAATCATAAAGAAAGTTCCTTAAGGTAACTAAACCAAATTATATTGTCAGAAACTTTGCTTAGTTCCTCTGCTGTGAAATGCAGAAATCTCCCCGAGGTATAAATTTTGTAATATTATAAAGTTGAAATTAAGAGTATAAAAACCGTAAATGATTAATACAAGACGTCCAAATTACATAAGATCTTTTAAAAGCTAGATTAGAAAAAATAAAGAGGAACTCAACCTTTATACTCTAGTGATTTATTATGAGTTGGTTTCTTACTAGAAATCAGCAAAGAGTCTTACAGATAAGCAGTTAATGATCAGAATTTAGAAGACTTAAATTTACTTGTTGTAAGAAAAGTGATAATTTTTTTTTAAATCACCACATAGCAGAGAGAGGAAATGAAAACTGTTGGGAAAAGAAATCCTTTAGCCATTTCTTGAGTACATTATAGAAAAGTAGAATGAGATCACATCATTAAAATCAACACTGCTATTTATTGAGCATTTACTATGTTCTAGGCACTATTTGGTGCATTATAAGTATTACTTCATTTAATTCTCACAATGATATTATAAAATAGAATGGTTATCTCTATTTCAAGATATAACCCAGTCCACACTAAGGGTAAGATTACTGAGAATGTGGGGAAAATCAAATTCAAAATCAGTTGGTTTGATACAGAGCTCTACTTTTAACTACTGCAATATGCTATGCTATTGAATAAATACTGTAAGAGATTGGTAACCAAATGTAAGCTCCGTGAGGACAGGGTTTTCTTTTTCCATATATTTCCGTATCCAATGCCCAGAAGAGTGCCTGGCACATAGTACATGCTCAGTAAATGTGTGCAATGAAAGTTCAGTGATTGCATCTGGAGATGGCAACTATATTACCGAAGCAACAAGAAGACGGGAGACTTACTTTTCACCGACAACTCTTGTACCTTGGGAATTTTATACCATGTGCATCTACCACCTATTCAAAAAACGAATAAAATTAAAACAAAACAAAACAAAACAGGGACTGCAGGCAAGTCATTAGGCTGTGTGTTTCATTCACCTGAAAAGGTATTTTGACATATAAAGATCTGCCAGGTAGATACTAAGATGTGTATGTGTACCGGCAAATATCTGGCAAACATGGATAGGAAACTCAGTATTTTGCGATATTTGACCTTATTTACATCTTTAAGAGATGGAAGAGAAGAAATAAACTAAGGTAGAAAGCGTGAATTGCGCGTACTCCGCGGGAGCCGTCTTTAACTCGGTTCATATAGATTTGCGGTGGAGTGCGGGAAACGTGTAAACTCGGGCCGATTGTAACTGCGTATTACCAAATATTTGTTTGTAATCCACCCTTTTGGTGGATGGAACAAAACCATCTTATATTTTGGCGGGAAATTCACCCGCACTCCAAGTGAGATGGAAGAGAAGAAATAAACTAAGGTAGAAAGAAGGAGATACACAGTATTCATGTACTTCTGGCAGTTTCCCAGTGTTCTAAAGCAGTGATTCTCAACCAGTAGGATGAGTTAGCATCACATGACCCCAAGTGAATCTGATGCTCCGGGTCCAGGGACCACACTTTGATAAACACTGTCGAAAGGATCCTTACAAACGAATGGCAAGTCTCTAATGGCGGTATTGCTTCTACAGAATTAAATCTATTTTCCTGGTGGGAATTAATAGAATAAGTAAAACATCAGCTGCAGCAACTGAATTCAATGAATCGAGTGGAGTGTCTCCAAATTTCAGTGCATATATTTGTATCACCTGGAGACCTTGTTAAAATGCAGATACTGATTCCACAGGTCAAGGGAGACCCTGAGATCCTGCATTTATAACAAACTCCTGGGTGACCGCAACCACACTTTCAGTAGTAGGACAGTAGAGCACTGGACTGGTACCTATGTTATGAGTAAAGCCAACTATTGCCTTTGAAGCATTTAGTTTCTAGTAAAAACGTTAAGACCAGGGCACAAACAATAATACAAAACTGTACTACGACTCCTGCTGGCTACGATTTTAGTGCTTTGTATATGCTAGACACTGTGCTAACTGAGCATTTTATATGCATGTCTCATATGATCCTCAACCCTGTGAAGCAGGTACTATTATTTCCCTTCTATTGGTGAAAAAACAGATTCATAAGAGGTTTGCTTATTTTTCAAAACTCACATGTCTAGTTGGTGGTAGAGTCTAGGTTAGAACCCACACAGATGGCAGAACCCACACAGATGGCAGAACCCAAGCTCTTAACCACCACACCACAATGACAGAGTGCAAGAGAAATGACACAGTAGTACAAGAGCTCAGAGGAAGAGGGCATCACATTTGATTGAGTAGATCAGGTAATGTTCACTGGGGATGTGTGTGAGTAAAGATAGGGAGAAAGGAGAAAAAATGGGAAGTTGGCCATTCTGAGCCAGAGAACCATGCATGAGAGGGAAAGAATGAGAATGCTCCCAGGATGGCAAGCAGGCAGGTTTAGTGCAGTGATAGGCAACTGAGTTGTAGGAAATGGGTTGAGTAGGCCATATTTTTAGGGCCACTGAAATTGGATTACTATGCAAGTGACAAGCAACATATATATTCATTAGTTGCTAAAATTCAATTATTTGTTCATCTATATATATTGTTTTTTTACCCGAAGACCCAAAATCTCAAAGTTCTCCCTCTTCCTCTCCTGCTTTATTCCCTAATTCTCATTCTGCAGCATGAAGCAGGATAAGTAGTTGTATGCATTTAACAACAAAAAGAAAGAGGAACTGCCATTCAATGAGCACCTACTATATGCCAGTCACTGTTCTAAATGTTTCATATATTTTATTTCTTTTCATCTTCACAGCAGCTCTGTGTGGTATTACTAACCTTGTTAGAGATAAACCAAATAAGACCCAGCACATTTTATTTTTTGAAGGTTCAAATAAGAAACATAAAAATGCAAAAAAGCTTTGAAGAAAAATTATTTTCCATCAATTCAAAGCCTTAATGAAAAGATGTTTTTCTCCACTGACATTTAGACAATAGATTTTCACCATGGAGAATCCAAATGACTACATTTGCTCCCATGTCTTTTTCTCTCAACCCCTTGATATTGGCATTCTCAGAAAAGCAAGGAAATGTGAGCAGAAAGGAAAAGGAATACAATAAGTTTAGGACCCGGATCCACTCAAACTTTAGTTCTAGAAGTCTAATTCTTTCTTGGAGTCACACAATAGTTAATGGGAAAATTACTTAGATTCCGGATTGCACATATTTCACTTTGCAATTTGCACTCGAGATCAAGAGCTTGTATTAAGCAAGGCCTCCTGTGACTGTTCTGAGAGATGGGTACCAGGAAGCTGGGGATGTGCAGGTGACGGAACGGTGCCCTTTGCTTCAGGCGTTCCTGTGTGTAGCACAGGCACTTGTGTTTGGCTGGAGGCCCAGAAGGTGCTCATGACTCCAGTACCTTCTTGAGATGGTTGGAGACTCAGAGAGAGGCTGATGGCCCCAAGCCCAAGGTCAAGAATGGAGTGAGCGTTCTGTCCTGCCCCCTGTACTCTCCACTTGCCCTCCCAGTCAGGAATGAGCAGATACTGGGGTCTCACTTTAACCATTTGTTTTCCAGCACCTTCTGGCAGTAGGAGGGGGTTCTTTCAACACATAAACTAAATGCTGGAATATAACCTTTTTTTCATATGAGAACAATGGGGTAAGTTGAGAAAATGTTGAGATGAGCCATGAGTGGAACAGGTGGTCTTAAGAAGGCTGAAGAAGTGTGTGTCATTTTAGGGGATTCCTGTGCCGCTGTGGGAGGGCCAGCCTCCGCGGTCTTTCTTTCCCTTCTCTGGCATTATATGCTCAGAAGATCCTGGCTTCATAGGTGGCCAACCAGGAAGCAGGCTTGAATGGCAAAATTGGCACATCTCTTAGACAATAACAAGTTGCTGTTGTCCCACAGAACAAACGACTCTTGTGGCTCAGGCTGAGTTGTCTTTTTTTTAAAAGAGAATAAAAGTCAACTCGCTTCTTTACTCTTGAACATGGTGCTGTTCTTTGTGGCTAGATGTGCTTCTTTAAAAAAGCTGCATAGCAGTGTACTGCTCCTTCATTCAGGCTAGATAGAGTTGCTAAAGCACGCAAGCATGACTCAGTGTTGGAACTTTTCCAGACGTGGCAATGAAAAATGTCCCCTGTGATCTCGGCTGGGTTAATAAACAAACTCATCCCAGAAAAGCAAAAGAATCTAGTGTCTTTCCTGTGAAGAGGTAGAAAGAGACAATGTTGTGATAGAAGCTATCATTTTTCATTTTCTTTTCAATATTCCTTAATCCTAACCCAGAACTTCTCCTCAGGCATCTAAATAAGAGTGGACAGTACACTCACTGACTTGGTCAAATGGACACCTAAGACGAGCACCGGAACGCAGCTAGGAAGGGGTGCAAGGTTACTTACACCCTCCTCATGGTCTAAAATCTATGCCACTTGTAAGAAGACTAGATGATAAATAAACTACTAGCCACAAACTAGCCCATTTCAGGCACTGAAATGTTGGTTCTTACTTGCAGAGAAATTAGGTAGCTAAATTCAAGGTGGCAGTGTCCTGCCAATTGGTTCTTTCTTCTAGTCATTCTGTCTTAGTGATTCATCCATCCTTGACTCCAAAGCCGGACCTCCTTAGTCTCAGCTCATTACTTAGGTGCCTGAGGACCGTATGTGAAAAACAGGACCATGAGCGCTGTCCCCAGGTACCCTGTATACTTTGTGGGCAAGGTTTTGGCCTCTTCCTGCTCTTATATCCAAAGTGCCTTCCACTGTGCAGGGCAATACACACCTGCTTTTGGGTTTGTTTTATATTTCTGACCTAGAAGATGTGTATATACAAGGCAAAGATACCAAGCCTGTTGTCAGTTCTCATTCTCACTGTGGTTCTGGCCCAGATGGTCAGACCACCCTTCCCATTTGTCGTCCCCAGGTTCTCTACCCGCTCCTGTTCCTAGCTCTCTGCCATTCATCCTCAATGCTGAGGTTTCACTTTCTTCTCTGTAGTAAGGAAGCCAGGGGGAGGGGCTGGTCAGATTAGACCCACTTCCATACACAGCAGGTGAGACTTTCCACATAGATGGGCAGGGATTAGGATAATTTGGCAGGGGTGAGGGGGAGAAGCATGCTCAAAATTACAATGTGTTTTGGGCAAATGAAAAAACAGCCCATTGTCCTTAGCCAATAAGCATGCTTAATTCTGTGCCATCTCTTAAGACAATCCCTCTGCCACTCATTCCACAAGCTTCTTGGGGGAAAAAATACACTCACTGTCTGAGCTTTCTCCCCTACATTAGAACTACTTCTGAGTCTACATTCGCAATGTCATGGGCGTGTCAGATGCTGAGGTCACCAGGGAGCCGAGTATTGCCTGTGCTCATCTGACTAGACCTTCCCAGAGGAGTTCCTCCCAGGGCTTCCATGAGAACTCACTCTCTGGTTTCCTCCCTCCTCTGTTCACCCACTCCCTCTCCCATATCCTTTAACATTCCTCTTCCTCCCTCTCTTAAATGTCAATGCGCCCAGGGTTTTCTAGAACATTTCTCTTCCTCCCCATGCCCTGCCCTGGGGTCGGCATCCAGGACAGTGCGTGCTGGGCTCTGCCGTGGAGGCCTCCGCTTCTGTCTCTGACATTTCAACCAAAAAAAGTTTTCTGAATCTGGAACACGTCTTTCCAGTCTCCACCCGCTACCCCTCAAAGGTTCTGTTTGTCCAAATTCTATCTATACCTTAAAATGGTTCCTTCTTAAGACCTTCAGTGATCTCCCCTTCTTGCAAAATTCCTCGTCACTTTATCTACTCTTCCCTTACAGCATCTCATTGAGTAGAAAGTCGAAGCAGAAAAACAAAAATTCAATTCCAAATTCCTTAGTATGTGGTCCTGAAGAAATATCTTAAACTCTTTGAGCCTCAGATTCCTTGATGAAATTAGGACTAATAACACTTTAA